GATCTAGTACTAGTTAGTATTTGGTGCGGTACTTCTATGTACCATCATTAGAAGCAAATCAATGATCGGATGAAAATGATATAACGTTCATATGTATGGGACCAAACGTTTAAGAATCTGAGAGAGTTTTCTTCCAGCCAGCCCGAATCAAAGGGTACTGCACCCTCTTAACTCAGATGAATGAAAACATGCAGCACAGCGCAATCACGATTCGCAAATCACCTTTTTTTCTGCAAGCTCCCGTCTCCCGTAAATAATACTTTTAATTGTTTGGCATCTATCGATGCGATTGCGATGAAGGGAAGCAATACAAACTTTGAAAAGTCGCGCTCGTCAGCTTCCATGCGTCGTTCATGAGCGTTTTCAAATGACCGAAGCTGATCGGGCTCCGAAACAGTGACGAAAGAGCACGTCATTCTCTAATTCAGAAATTGTGCACTTTGAGAGATGAACCTCCACGAGGAAACTGCGGTGATAGACAACTTTGCGGAGCCTTGTGAACGCAAGTGGCGACGAAGTCGTCCCATATTCAATCATTGACGCTCGAAAAAATCATTGGATTCACGCCAGCAGCCAGGAAACACGGCAATGAGCGATACCAGCGTCGCCTTTTGAGCACCAGAGCAACTTACGTTTCCTCATTCGTGGGAAAGGTGGCGGGGCGAGAGCGAATCTCCGAATTTCCGTGGAATTGCCTCCCCTACCTTTCGTGAGGCCGATTTGCAAGTTTAACATCGCAAAGGCACATCCACGGATGATAAGGAAAGTTTCGCTTCAAAGCCTAAGTTCATATCTCGAAGCGTTTGGCCCGTCAACCTGTCACGCACACGCACACGCACACGCACACGCATTTTTCGCACGGTCTGGTTAGCGGTTAGGATCGCTCACGTAATATGTTCAATCTCCGGTCCCCGGTTTGAACAGCAATTAAAATGCCCGACTCTTCAACTTGCAAGTTTGCGATTGGAAACTTCCTTATTTTTCCTGTTATCGGATCTAAAAGAAATCTAATAGACTTTTTTTATCGAAAAATAAAAGTTATTATTTGATATTTTATCATCATTTCTTCAAAATGCGAAAAGTCAAAAGCACTTACTTAAGTTTGTAAGTTGAACGTCCAAAAATTTTTTAGTTGCATCTATTGTTGCTTAGTCGCATTTCATTGTATCAGTTATTCATTGTATCTGTTATTCATTGTATCAGTTATTCATTGTATCTGTTATTCATTGTATCTGTTATTCATTGTATCTGTTATTCATTGTATCTGTTATTCCCTGCAAGCTACGTCATGCAAAGGGATAATAAAGATATCTGTGACGATGCACTGACTTAGCTGTGAGAGACTATGGTACTCGTTTTGCTTGATGATGTGCGATAATTAAAAAGATCTCATGAAGTAAACATTATATTGCTCACCAGTTGCAACATTATTCATCGCTTCAGTCCAGAACTTTAGAAAAGCGTAGCTGAGAGAAATATGATTTTATCTAGTCTCAACCTACGGTGAGACTAGACGTACCTACTGAGACTCTGAGTTCAGGAAAAATGTCAAGTCATACAGGCCCTGGGGGCATATTTTTGGGGGGTGGCCTTTTCAAATAATTTTTTCGTCCACTGAGTTGTCCAGATGTCCCTACCGTGGGAAAACCCCTAATCGGTAATTGATTCACCACCAAATGCTGCGCCAATATTAACCGCGGTCGCTTTTTCCGTCGTAATGCCTGAAATTTTGAAACCCAAAAAATCCTCCCCGAATCCTATAGGTCAGGAGACCTATAAGACCCTATAGGTTTTTCGTGTTTCAAAACCTATAGGAAAGTCTATAGGTTTCCTATCAGACATTTCCGTTAGGGGGGGGAGGGAGACGAAGGGAGGACGAAGGAGGAATGGAGGGGGGACGGCGGGGGGACGGCGGGGAGATGGAGGGGGGACGGCGGGGGGATGGAGGGTCATTTCAACGTCTGTGTTCGCCGAAGGATGGAAAGTATTCGCTACGCGAGAAAGTGGGGAAAGAAACTCCGGCCGGGTTTTATCTCTTTCCCTTATAAATACGGACTCTTGAGAAGTGTTTATCTTCGTGACCGTCACTTCCGGCAATGGGGTAAGGATTTTCTGATACGCTTGCTTTAAAGCAGTGATGCACAACCTTTTCCCCGTAGAGGGCCAAAATGTACATTTCGGCTCATGTTTGAGGGGATGGAGGACCGCAGATCCTCGAACATGAGCATAAATAGGCCGCATATAAATATGGATCTTAAGAGACCGGAGGCATCCAAGGGGCCGCCAAAAGGGTCTCTGCGGGCCGCGGGTTGTGCATCACTGCTTTAAAGTATACGAACGGTGATTGTCGGGAGTGGAATGCGGTAAGCCTCAAATGTTTCGTCCGTTTCGGAGTGAGAGGAACAGCCGGCCTCCAAATCCATTTCGCATGATGTATTCCCGCGATGGGCGCACGAAAACTGAAAAATATGTATTAACAGGCGCCACGCACGCGTTCTGACGCAATTTTGTCCCGTGCGTCATCATCCACGCGTGTCGAACAAGGCGCGGAAATGCGAATTCCGGGTTTTCGATCGGTTCTGCAGTCCTGCTGCCGCGTGACGTCGGAGAAGAAAATTTTTTTTTTTTTAATTTGCGAAATTTGCCCTCTGGCCGCCAAGCCTGTCGTCGCCGCTGTTTACGCGCCGGGAAGCGACGAAGTGCGAAATGATGCGTCGATTCCTCGGACTCTTCGAGGTCGCTAAAACTGTTCTTTAGAGTCTTGGCACTTCCCAAATAAACACCTACCCGAGGTAACTTAGCAAACTTCTTCTCGGACGGATTGAACAAAATTGCCAAGGTCATACTTTTATTTCGAGGAGAAACTGGAAGCCATGAAAAACTAGGACTTAGTGCCCGGAAGCCGAGGAAGAGGTCTGGAACGGTGTCACTTTCGCGATGGTCGAAATTCGGCACGGAAAAAAGGGCCAAAGGGTTCCACGAAGAATCCAGACGCAAGAAATTCTTGTTTCGCACGCATTCAAAAGATTGGGACACGAACCATCATCGCCATTCGCCCGAAAACGATCGGCGATGAAGGAATCAAACGGATGAAAACTCGAAGACGAAAATGCATGGAAAGGCAACCAGAGGGAAAATGGGAATCGAGGCGATCGAATTCATCACTTATTGTCGTGTTCACTGGAAAGCGTTTCTTTGGATCGAGTCTCCCTGGAGCAGGAAGAACCGGCAGGAAGTACCGCCAGGAATCTCCGAGCGCGCCTGTCGACCCGTCCGCCCTAGCGACGGACTTCCTCCTCCTTCGAGTCCGGCTGGTACGTTTTGCAAGAGTGCCCGAGGGTCTTGCATTTCTCGCACAGGTGTTCGAGGTGGGGCTTCTTGCTGGTGCTCCTTTTCCACTCCAAGGGCCACTGCAGTGGGATGTTGGAGGAAAAAAAGAAAATATCGTTTGTCTTCGCCGTCGTATGTGCGATCAACGAAACTCATATGTGAGCCAGTACGATAAAATATTCAACGGGATCCTATGACATTCTTTAAACAAAAATATAATGGGATTCATATTGGAATTCCATTGGAATTCTTATATTGATTCCCATTATATTTTTGTTCCACATTATAGGAATTATTGCAGGATTCTGTTGAAATACTATAAGATTTTAATGATCCAAAAATATTTAAGGATAATGCAGGCTTTTTTTTTCGCGCGAGAAGCCGACATGAAAACAGGAACTTAAGTCTTTCACTGATCGCGATGATTTTTCCCTCAACAGGCTAATTCCCTGTTCCCGTTTCGCCCTATTTCAGCACTGTGACCCAGAGGGATCGGCGCACACCGAGAGTTCCGGTCGAATGACTCCAAGGAACGTTAAGAAGTCTCCAGAAAAGGCATCTGATGGAATATCTATTATTAACTGCATCTATTATTAGCGCACCGGGGGCAGCTCCAAAAAAACTATCGCTTTAGTCTTGCAGAATTCTCATTTTCGAACAAAAACATTTTTTCTAAATAAGGAAAGTTGACAGAAAATTTTTCCCAGTTTTCCAGGTCTGTCTGAGAATTTATCAAAAAGTCCAAATTTGCATATTTGCACGTCCCACTCACAAAATCTCCCCACGAATGAAGACGGTAAAGGAAATTGCAATTCCGAGGAAGTTTAGTTTTCACATGCCACTTCGTCTCCGAAGCTTTTATTTACGAATATTTATATTTATATACGTATTTTATATTCCAATGGCTTTTTGAGCCGGACGGAGACTCCTCGTCTGTAATGCCATTGAATCGAGAAATACCGTTCCTCTGGAGTGCCGCTCTGAAGCGCGAAGTTGGTGCGTCTGATTTCGGTGTGTCGAGCCGCAAAAAAAAAAAAAAAAAAAAAAACACAAANAAAAAAAAAAAAAAAAAAAAAAAAAAAAAAAAAAAAAAAAAAAAAAAAAGAACAAAAAAAAAAAAAAAAAAAAAAAAACCAGAGGGGTAACGAAATTTGTTAACTGCAACTGTAATTTACAAGTCGAACAAAAATACTCCATAGGATCCTGTAAAATTTTTTGTAACATACAGTCTCATGGGACATTGATAAGATTATTATAGGAATATTATAGAATCCTATAAGAACCGGTACGATTCGTCTAAAAGAAGATTCTCATGAGAATACCATTCGATTTTTATGTTTAAAAAAATCTGATAGGATCCTAAAGGATTTTTCAGGTACGGTTTCGCTTTCTGTGAGTGAAAGGGGCTTCGAATATCCTAAGGCAAAAGCTCTTCAATTCCTGCTCGAAGGACAATTGAAGGACTTCAAGTTATTTGCAAATTTACAATGTCATTATCCAGAAGAAAAATTGAAAAGGTTCTGATGATTCCCGCGAATTTTCCCCATGCATGAGAACAGATTCACAGGTCGATAACATGAAAGCGACGAATGGCTCTCTCCTTTATGAGGAGAAGGTCCGCCGAGAGCGGAGATTGCACGGTTCTTTCTCGAGTGTTTCCTGTTTGCACTTCAAGTAGTAAATTCCAGCGAGTAATGCACCTGTCGGTAAGGATAGACGTAGGTGAGGCAGTTAGTGCAACCTTGCCCCATATTGGCCCAGCTGTACGCACTTCTCCATTCCCAGGTGCATTTCGAGCAATAATACAGCCCAAAACCACGCCATTTCCCTTGATATGGAGTCAGTTTTTTCCCGTTCCGCCGACCCTAGAAAACAGATCGAGTATGCGAATCGAGAGACGGATCTCAACTGGATCAATGAGAGAGAAGAATTTCCAATTCAAGTTCATAGGGTGCCGAGTCTCTTATTTTACTATTCGTAAGCTTTAGTCCGAACCCAAACAAAATCATCAGTTAAATCGATATGTATGCACATCTTTGCTCAAATTATTTCCACGAAGCCGAGATTATTTCACATTAAGCATAAGAGGAAAACAAATTCCTCACTCCAGACTTCTTTAATACCTTGTATAAGATGTTTCTACTTAAATATTTAACATACGAAGAATAGGTTTCTCGAGAAGACCTCTACCTTAGGGTCCTGGCCTCCACCAGCCTTCTCTTTCCTCCTCCGAGAAGGCTTCGGCCCGGATTTGGTCTCTGCCCCTTCACCAGCCTGGAGGACCAAGCATAGCATCGGGTCCACTCAGAGTGGGTTCGAAGGGAAGTTGTCGGTGGGGGCTCATACCTGAGGGTCTTCATAGTTTGTGGTCGGGTTTGGTCCAGTAGTCAGTGGGTTTTCCTTGCCTTTTACTTTCTTCTTTGGCTTTTTTTTATTCTTCTGACTGGAATCTGGCCTCGCTAGGTCCTACACAAACAAGATTTATTATTTGAAACTACAGCTCGGCTAACCTTCCACGGGAGGGTTTAAAGAGGATGGATGTGACACTGGTATAAATCAATATGATTTTTGCAAGCACAAATGGAAAGGCTTGGAAGCTTTCTCAGGTGGAAATTATTATTTCCTTTGGGAGAACTAAAACGAGAGTCCTCCCTGGAAGTGCCTACCTGCTGGCCATCCTCCCCCGGCGGCACATTCTCCTTCCCTCCTTTGGATTGAGCATTCTCCTTCCCTCCTTTGAGTTGAGCATTCTCTTTCCCTGCTTTGGGTTGGGCATTCAATTTCTCTTTTTTTGGCTGGGCACTGTCTTTCCCTCCTTTGTGTTGAGCATTCCCTTTCCCCTCTTTGGACTGGGCTACCTCTTTCCCTGCTTTGGACTGGGCTCCTTCTTTCCCTTCTTTGGGTTGAGCATTCTCCTTCCCTCCTTCCGCATGGGTTTTCCCCGTCCCCTCCTTGCTTCTATTTGGGAGAAGCTCTTCCCCTTGGGGTGGTTTCAGCACTTCCCTCTTGGGTTGGGCCTGCGCAAGTGGGTAACTTAATCATAATATGCTCCAGAAATGAACTTGGAATACAGTCCAGGGGCCGTATTCACGAAACATTCTTACGAACCTTTTTCTTCGTAAGAAGAGAAAAGTTCGTAAGTGGTATTCATGAAACATTTTTGCGCAAGATGCTCGAACGATCTTCGTACGCAGTGCGTAAGAATGCTGCTCAAGTTTTTCACCGAAAAAAGCACCGAAGTTCGTATCTTTCTCCGCAAGTCTACGAATGGTCCCTAGGTATCGTAAGTGGCCACAATAATGATGTTGAGGCAATCTACGGAACTCCCTTCCATTGGGTGTCTCAAGTAAGCTAAGGTTCATTCGCACTGAGCGGCTAACAGGATATATGCACACAGGATTCACAAGATTTTGTCTCGGAGGTCATGAGGTCATTCCCATTCATCCAGTTTCAGAAAAGTAAGACGATAATGTTAAAACTTCCCGTGAGAGCAAAGACAACGGCATGGAATGCGCAGACAATTTGCAGAAGTCTCCTCCGATATGGGGAACCAGTGAGGCTACGAAGTTTCGTGAATGCCAACGATTCGAAGTTCGTACGAACATCGTTAGAATATCGCATTCTTACGAGGTTTTCATGAATGCGGCCCCGGAGTCTTCGAGGGAACAAAACGTAATTATTATTCAATAGAGCTGACTCAAAGTTACAATTTATGTCTAAATTCAAGCGTTACTATCAAAAGGTTTCCCTTCAAATGACACTCAACTCATTGTTCCTTAGTTATGATGCAAAATATGCGTGGAATGCGCGATATGAATGAAGAATAATATCAGCCCCAGTGATAAAAAATATATAAATATAAGAGGGCTCTTGACATACCTATTCCAACATCAATTTGCCTTGTTTTTCCATGTGGCACACTATATTTTTTTCACATATTTTTCGCAAATATGAAAGGAAATCTGACTGCGCTATTTCCAGTTGGAACATTTCATCAGCACATACTGCATATAGAGAGCGTTTCACGAGTCACCTCCGCTATTTTGATGACTGCCTCCAGGAAAACCGATGGACATGAAGTTGTGAAACTTTGGTTTCCAGACCGGTTTGACCATGCGGAGGAAAACGTAAAGTCGCGTAGTGGTTTATGATGGCAGCACGATAGAAATGGATGGTTCCCATTGTCCACTAGTGGCATACGTTTGGATAATAGCTGTTCCATGTGCTTTCCTTTTGTGACAGTCATAATCCCCAATCGTGACAACACATTCCAAACTTTTGCAAGAAGTATATCAGTGGGTATGGATAAATCTGCCGTGGGAAGTGCGCCTCCTGCTCTCCTTCGACTCGTGGCATCTGCAGAGGCCACCACGGCTAACACGACACTTAAAGAAACCCAAAAAACCAATAAGTCTTCTGGAGTGTGGCACGCTCCATACTCCCTGATATGCCTCGAGCAGCAGTTCGGAATCTGTCGTCACGATCCGACTGCCACGATAAACTGCGTCCATGAACCATAAACCATCCCATCATCATAAACCAGCACAAGCGTTTTCTTCCTCACGGTCAAAATTTCATAACTTTGTGTCCATGGGTTTCCTGGGAGCAGTCGTCTGAACAGCGGAAGGGAATTTTCAAACGCCCTGTGTATATTTTTTGCAACGGAAATGTATGTTAACGGAAGAAGTCTATAGATGATAGAGAAAAAAATGATACGGAAGTCTGACCCAAAAAGGGGGGCGAACTTGAGTCCTAAATTGTGCTTCAACTTCGTCGAAAATTAAGATGTGAAGATGGTGAAGACAAAGATGAATCAGGGTCATTTTCTTGGAACGTGAGTGCGCATTTCATCTTGTGACGTTAGTTATTTTAATTCATTGAAGAGTTTTAGGTTTTAGGTGCAGAACTTGACGAAACGAAAGTAAAGGAAGACCCTGCCATGTCAAGATGAAACGGAATCGGAACTTTGACCTGAGATAGCGGCCTACTTCGACCCGCGTGAGGGTCGTCGTCGGCCCTCGATGCCTTAGGAAGATCTCCAGGTACACTTGAGATACGGGCGCATTCAAGATGATTCGGCCTGGAATCATACGAGATGGCTCGTCGGCCTTGACAAATGTCTGTGAGACCCGTCACAGCCGACAGATTGCAAGCAGCGCCACTCGACGTGCCGGTATGACGTGTCGCACATGACGTGTCGGCGAGTCGGTGATGAGTAAGCGTCGGTTATCAACAGTTAAAGCGCGAGATTAAGGTGGGAGAAAAAGGCGTCAGCCAATGGGGAAATATCCGGAGGAATTAACAACATTCATTCCCCGGAGTTTTAAAATGATAGCAATAAATATGAGGTAAAGCAATAAATATTTTTTAATCTCGTTCCCCCAGAGACTCCCTGCACATCCTCCAAACAGACTCCAACCGAGCCGCAACGCCCCAAAATGACCCTAAACGACTGGCATTCCCCACCTCCCATTTAAAGAAAATAACCTCATGAACATACATAATTCGCGACGGGACCGTTTACCTGATTGCCCTCCTCGCAGACCTCCTCTCCCATCTTCCAACGCTCCTCTTCTTGCACTCCCACTGGAGGAAAAAGAAGCCTCTCGAGTGGAGGGAAAAGAGTGGATGGGATGTGGGTGGGATGACCCAGCTGGGAGCTTATCGGTCTTCTCGCTTATCGCTATCGCCGCTGAAAAAAATCCCATCAATCGCTCAGGCATTTCATCGATCAGATAAACTTCCTTTAGTCTAAGTCCAGTTTAAAATCGGGTAATACCATGGCCCATGCGACTTTTGAAGTACCCAAAAGATGACTTATTTGGAATGGAGGAAATTCATAACACGGCTCCGAGCTCTGGATTCGCCCTCGTCGATTCCAGGGCTAATTAAATTTTTTTTTCGTTCTTGAAATGGAATGTGATTCGGAGAAGATATAAACGAACATGTACAACTAATTTTTTCCTCCTGAATCCATGAGAGGGCAATCAGCTCACTTTGTTTCTAATATAGCCCATATGAGTTTCACAGATGCTGGGCCTACGAACCAAAACCATAAATTTAAAATTCTATGCAAAAAAGGACAATATTCTTCGGTTCCAACCATTCCCAAAAAAGGGAATCTCTCGTGGTCACCAGAAGCTGCTGACCTAGCTGGCTACGAACTTGGAAGAACCCCAGATGAGCACGGCATCAGGCGGGGATCGACCTGGAAGTATCGACTTCGCAATCTCTTTCGGTGCACATCGCAATGGTAAACGTGGACTTCGGTCACGTATTCCGCTGCATGGTGCGCGCCTAGGAGTGAAAAGACGGGCAGCATTTCTATTTATTCGATGGGATGGGATTCGATGGGATATTCTCGCGAAGACGCGAGTGCCTCCTCGCCGGAGAAGAGGATCGGTCCGTTCGACGAGTCGAAAAACGATTTTCGTGCGATTCCGCTTTCGCTCGAGAGTCTCGCAGTCCGAACGGCTGGACTTTCCGTCGATCGACGAGGCGGTCTCGCAATTATGCTTTGGATCTCGATCGTGCACGTGGTGGTCATGTTTGCTCCGGCATGGTACCATCCCGGGTAACACGTCGGCCCGACGTTGGGTGAAGGCGGGAACCCAATCGGCACGACGACGTTGCCTCGAGATTGAGAAAAGTTTGGAACGTTCAGACTTGGTTCAAGTTGAGAATTCGACTAAAAGAATCGACATCGATGAAATATTGGCTATCCGTAATTAACCGTATTTTCAGCATATGGCGACCCCTCGTGGATTAGCGACCTCGTCCAGATGTTTTTAAGCACAAATTCTTTTTTCATCGCAGTCTCACGATTTCAACGTGGAGTTTGAACCCACATCTAATCAACATGAAATCGGTTCTACGATTCGACGCGAGATGTCGCCTAACCGCCGATTCCGCCGTTCTTACCATAATTAAACAGTACCCTAAATTTTCCTACAGTACCCGATCTTTTCCCATGTGTGACGTACGGCAAGGCTTAGGAATTTCTAGATGATCTCTAGATGATCCTGTTTAAGGAGGTAATCAGGCAGAAGGAGACTCAGGGTACTTCTGGCCAGTGGGTCCAAGGAGACATCCTGGATTTTGCCAAATCTTCCCACGACACGTCGCCTCGCTTCTCAGGCTCAAACAATGAGGATAGAGCATGAAAAAATACACGCGCGGTTGTCTTCTCATCTGGGACAGAAAAAAACGTAACTTCTGAGGGGTCTCTTCGTGGGATGATGTCACTCGAAAGAGTACTGGCAGGAAAGGTACTTAATGTTGAATGAATTATCTCTGACTTCACTCTCTCTTGTCCTCAGTATGTCCTGATGATGAAACGAATAATCGAGCAGCGTGCGTTTCTTCCAGTTTTTCATAATTCTTTCGCTTGCGGTGCCTACGCTATCGCAAAGAGTTCTCATGAGGAATACGAGCTTGTTTATGGCCTCAACTCCAAGATTCGCTCTCGAATATGCGGATAGCAAGCGATGAAGCGTCCGAGTTTATCGATTGCTATAATGAGACCAGGCGAGACCTAAGGCGACGTACTAAACACTCAAGTGAAGGACGATTCCAGGGAAAGAGAGAAGGGTACTTTTGCGTACTGTGCGAAAAGCGAGACCTTTACCTCCATCTAGTGGCCTGGCGAAGAACTTCAAGGTGTTCACTTCAATACGAACGATGAGGGAGCATTTGTTGAGTAATAAGAGAGTAAATTAGAAAAGCTCACGGTGTGCTCACTTCTTACTCCCCAAACGCTCGGAATTTTCTAAGAGTGTAGGCGTGAAGACCCCCGTGAATAAGAGGGGGGGATGCATTGTATATTGTCAGAGCGGCTGCTGCGCAGAGCATTGATGGGGCCGCTGACTGAACTCGTGAATATCCGAAAATGCTTCACGCTTAGCCTAGGCCGACCCAGAGATCGTGGATGTCTTCCATCGGCTGGGGTCTTCGTCTCGCTCGAGAGCGAGCAGTTTCTTTTCGTGTTTTTCGCGACTGCTGCGTTCTATCTTGAGAACGAGATGATGAGCGGTTGCTGCGTAGAATTTTCAAATGCCGACTGAACTCAAGGACTCCCGACCATGTTTAGGACCGAAGTGAGGGGGGGGGGGGCAAAATGGGCAATTTTCTCCGTGTCCCTTGCCTGGAGAGGAGGGCCCAAACCAGATGGTGTACGGTTTATTAGCGTGGCGTTCGTTCGCAATGGAGAGTTCAAACGCACTCAATGAGAGTGTTTGAAGCGGGAGGGAGGGGAGAAGAGTGGAAAGGGGGCCCTGACCTCAATATTGCCCCAGGCCTCACAATTCAATTTGGCGACCCTGACATGCTTAGTCTAGACCAGAAGTGTCAAACTTGACTAAGCTGGCGGTCGCATGGAACCCTTCGGGAGTGGTTGGGCCCACATTCGCACAACTTGCACCAAGTTTTCAATTGCCAACAGGTTGAAATAGTCATTTTTTAAAAACTCTTTTTACAAACCAACTGTTGATCCTTTGCAGGCCGGACAAAATCAAATAGTTGGCCGGCAGTTGGACACTCACAGTCTAGATCGAAGTCATCCGCAGTTCATTTTCGAGTACGGGATGGCGATGGTGCTGCTTTATACCGTCGAGAGGGCCGCTGAGTTTTAGGGCTGCTGACTAAGCTCGGGAATTCCCGAGGAACAGTTCGTGGAGGACATCCGCCGATTGGGGTACCCGTCTCACGCTCGCACTTTCTCTCTCTCCGGCCTTCGCAACAGTCTCGTTCACGAGAATATGAGAGAAAGTCATTGTACGACTTGCGCAGCCCCACCCCATTACGAAGGGATGTTCACACCTCGATATGAGCTTTCGTTCAGGAAAACCCCAACACAATACTTCGAGTCCCGTTTTCCTCAGTGCAATGGAGAGTAACTCTAGGGGATGAAAGCGGCGGGGTCCCATAAGGGTGGGACAGAACAGGATCGCAAGGATCCCGCCGGTTAGGTCGTTACCATCCTGTATCCATATACGTATATTTCACTCAAAGGCTTGCACAGAAAGTGATGAAGATGGACATTACAAACGAAGTGAACAGGGTTGTAAACAATAGGGAAAAGTGACGATAAAAATGAACAAACATGGTATGACGCAAAGGTCTACTTTGCACAACCGCACGGAGAACGAGCTGGTCCACCTTCGATTGTGACCGTTTATCCACTCCACCTGCGTAACAAAATAGTAGCATTTCTCATTATTCGTCCCAGTTCCCAATGAGCTCCAGTAGGGTGAGTCCCACTTCGCTCCTGCTATGATACTTCGTCTCTATGAATTATCTGTAGGATCATCGGGTTTTCATTAGATCCTCGGGGGCATTTATTCCAATACTTCCAATATTTGCAGGTATTTTTAAATTTCCTGCGATCGAAGCATCATGAAGCTCCTGCTTGCCCTTGCTCCCTTGGTGTGCGCGGTCCAATTCTCGACCTTGAGGTATGGTCTGAACAAGACGGGAATGAAGATTTCGAATCCATTGATGGAGACTCAATTGGAATCAAGCGCCATTTGTGGCATTCGATGTGAACAGTGAGTCTATTGCAATTTCCAATTGATGAAACATAGCATAAAATCATATTCATTTCGTCACGCAGGAAATCCGGCTGCTACACCTTCTCCGTGACGAAGAACTCTGGAGATGTCAACTGTCGGCTGGGCGGATGGAAGCCGATGCTCGCACCCGATCCCAACAGTGAATATTTTGTTTCTCCAGCCATTCCTACAGGTAATATTACTAGAAGACCATTTCTCTTCGGTTCTTCTTCTGCTCTTTTGGTTGGTCTCAATGTTTCTTTGGGAAAGAGCTATTCCAATAACTGTTTTCACACGCGATTCCATTCTTGGAAATATTGTCGGTTTGCACGATTGCCCTAATTAGCGAAAAGTGATCCGGTTTCCTAGCTCATACTCTGTACAAGACGGGAATGAAGATTTCGAATCCATTGATGGAGACTCAATTGGTGACAAGCACCATGTGTGGCTATCAGTGTTTACAGTGAGTCTGTTGCAATTTCCAATTGATGAAACATAGCATAAAATCATATTCATTTCGTCACGCAGGGAATCCGGCTGCTACACCTTCTCCGAGACGAAGAACTCTGGAGGTGTCAACTGTCGGCTGGGCGGATGGAAGCCGGTGCTCGTACCCGATCCCAACAGTGAATATTTTGTTTCAGCCATTCCTACAGGTAATATTACGAGAAGACCATTTCTCTTCGGTTCTTCTTCTGCTCTTTTGGATTGTCTCAATGTTTCTTTGGGAAAGAGCTATTCCAATAACTGTTTTCACACGCGATTCCATTCTTGGAAATAGTGTCGGTTTGCACGATTGCCCTAAATAGCGAAAAGTGATCCGGTTTCCTAGCTATCTTCCTGAGGAGGGGTAAAGCTAAACTGATTTTGTGGATGCTTTTACCATCAAAGTATAGAGCTGAATATGACTTATCCTTGTGATGGCAAGTATTATATGCATTGAAGCCGTGTATGTATATGAATGGAATGAGAGACACGTCAGGAAATAAAGAGGAAGCCGTCATAAAATGATTTTAGAAGACGTAGTACTGGAAATTATCCTTCAATGGCAATTCATCTTTTTGTAGCTTTCGTATCCTTGTCGCCAAACGTAATGGATTGTGTCAACGAAAGTGCTCTCCTTACAGAATATAAACGCGTGGGTACCACAACAAGATACGTGAAAATGGAGTACGAGCCATGGATCAAAGCAACGAATCCGTCATACGTGAATAAGAATTGGAACCAATCCCTGGCTGCCTGTCAGGTTGATGGAGGGTGGCTGGTCGTCGACAACGACAGTACGATCCACAACTATCTCTACAACATCCTCATGGCGAATGGAATCTATCCCGGCTACAAATGCTTGTGGATTGGAGGATACAGTACGTTCGACAAATGGCACTGGGTGCTCCTCGATGGCAAGTTTATATCCTACCAGCCTTTTTAATATGGAATAGTTACTTTTCGTCACTTTATGTTTGTCCTCCATGCTAAGGTTCGCATGTCTTCGGTTCCCTATTATTCGATGTAATGCATGAAGGGAAACCCCGATTCTACGGATTAATGCGATACACTTTAGAGGAGAATATTCATTTAAATATGAGGTAATATACTCTTTATTCGCGTGCGATTACTTGAAAAATTATATTATATGTACATCAATGGGTTAATGAAATTTAATTGCCAATAGGGACGAAGATTACCCTAACAGGATTGGGCCAATATAATTTTGGCAATGGCCATCCCGATGGTGGTGGAGGGTGCCTGCATTTCTACGCCCAATATGGATCCGATTGCTGTGGCCTTTGGTCAGATTGGGGTTGCGCTGGGACCTGGGATGGATATTTCTGTGAGATCCAACTCCCTTGATTCTCGTCACCTTGTGGTTTCACATATACTTGCAGATAGCTGGATATACCCAGTGTTGGCGAAGCGTGGAAAGGGAAGAAAGTATTTTCACACGTATTGATCAAGCGCATTCTCACCGTTCAAATGAATATATTATCAAGCGAATGTGTCAGCACCATTTCATTACTAACTCATGATTGTCTCTTCTCATTGGTTGCTAGAACATCGAGAGTGTTTCCTTCCAGGTGTGGTGTTGCAGAATATGTTCATCTTAATATGCAAAAGAAATTGTATTATTTTGCAGCCGACCAGTCCCATCATGCTCGAGTGAAATGACCATGAATAACTTTTGGGTTTACTCGACCCAGGGGAGAAGGGACTGAGGATTACCCGTTATAGACTTTAAATGACGAGTTTTCAAAGATTGATTGCACCAACTTGTGACGAATGATGCACTATTTTCACTGAAATAATGGTGTTCACACTTAGTCTTGCATTGATTTTTTCCCTATTAACTGCAGTCCTTCCACCATGTTTTCTTATTCCCTACTAAAATATAATGTATATATTTTTTGTCACCATGGTCTACCTTTGGCAGTGGACGTGTATGCTGAAATCATCTTGAATAATAAAACCTTGCAAAAACTTACTTATCACCCAATCGACACATTTTCTCCTGAAAACTTCAGACAACACCTGCACTTTCGATCGTTTCGAAGTGTGAGCTTCTCTAAATGTGGTTCTTAGTCAGCAGTCATCCATGGAATGCAATGCCTCAAGCAATAAGCCAGTTTCCATCTCGATGAAAATTGCATGACTAGAAGGAGAGTTCCTTTGGTCAGTTCGAATAGCATAAGAGTTTCTTCATAATCAGTTGATGTTGATTTTTTTCTGATTGTCCATCAAGTTCACCTTCATCGGCCTGCATTTGGGATAAATAAAAAGTTTTTGTATCAGAGAGAGCCTCCCTTTCCCATGTGCTTTTAGGGTAAGCGTTCATAAGGTTTTTTTTTCCGGAGGCGGAGTCCTAGCTGAATCACCATCAATGCAAGTAGCCCTGTTTTCCATTGCCAACAGGGTCGATAGAAGGAACCAAAATGGAATGTTCAAAATCGCTCCATTGAGGAACTTCTGTGACGGAATATTTGCTTCCAGGATCTACCACGAGGCTTGGGATCCATCCACTCAGGCGAAATTAGAAAACTCCAGAGTTTGTTGTCATGGTTTAACTTCTTAACGCATGGTGCCCATTCTAGTGAAATGCAGTATTTTTGGTGATAATGATGGTTATTTATCTAATATATATAGACGATGGTGACTGACTGACTGACGCTAATTCTAACCATGTTCTAGACATGATGAGAG